CACGTGATTTTTCCGTTAAAAAATGTGTTTTTTTTCTCTATATTTTCAGTGGAAAAATCGGATGAAAAAAAAAATACAAAGACATATTTGTTGTTTGTTGTATAATAAACATAACACTCGACAAAGCGAATACTACGACTACCCATTAAACGACTGCTCTGCAGTGTTCGTGACAGCAGACCGCATCGTCATTTACAGCCATCGATTCAATATAGGTAATTATATTATATTAAGCTCTTGAAATAAACATCAAATGGATTAATATACATTCATTAATATGAATTGGGATCTGTATTAAAGTGAAGTTATTTGGATGACTCCACGAAGTTGCTACAATAGATATTTCAGAGAAAACTTTTCGGAAGAAAAGTTGTTTACAGACATAAAAAAAAAATTATAAAAACTCACATACCATAGTAAAACCAATAGATCCCACGCTACGTTCCGAATTTAAAAGCTCCGTGGGTGGATCACTGTCATCAGTAGGTTATTGTAAGGTATGCATAGAGTAATTCAAAACTTTTGGGATTAACATAATCTAGCACACCTACATACTGTTCTACTTGCCGTGGAATACTAAAACGTTAATTTTAATGTTTAAAAAGCAGGTATAATACAAATTTTAACATTACAAATAATATTATAGTTAATAGTACACATTTTTTAAAATAATTACAATAAATTAATTGATTTTAATTCTCGAACAAATTGTTTTTCAAATATTTCAGTTATTATTTTCAGTAATACAATTTTTTTTTAAATAATAGTGTGCATTATACAATTTTTTTTTTCAGGATAACTATCAATAACAGGTACTTACACATTTATATTCTAAAAAAAATAATAAATAAAATACCTAGCCTTTATTATAAACAAATGCAACTTTGTTTCTATAATTATAAAGCCTTAATATCGCATTACAAGTAAATTTAATTATATCAAATAATTTGTTATTAATTAATAAAAAATAATTGTATGCTTTATGAAAATCAGACGCGGATTTAAAATTTTGAAGGGAGAGATTTTATTATAAACATAGGGCATACTTATTCGTGCTACGCTTACATCAGATATAATATAATTGTAAGATAACGAATGCCATTTCTTTAAATCAGGCAGTATATTAATTATATGCATGCAAATCAGGCGCAAATGGCTGTCGGGAAAAACTACAATTTTTTTTTTTTTTAACACAAACGAGCTATAACGAATAATTATTCTTTCGATGCAACCAAATAATTTCCTATCTCAACAAACATCGTTATCCTTGCCAAACTTTAAAAATGTAAGAAATTTCAACAATTTATTGCCAGTGTAACGCAAAAAATCAACAAAATCAAAAATTCGGCTAAAAAAAAAAACAAGTTAGTAAAAAGTCCGTGCTTTCCCGTGTTTTAAACAATTAACTATACAATTAGTAAAATTGCATAATATTATACTATTTTCAATGAATTTGCTAACCTATAGTTTACTATGCTTATGCGTGAAAACTGAAGTAAATTATAGGTATCTTAATTTGTAATTAGTTGACCGGACAATTTTAATTTGAAGCAATTATAATTTGGTACCTACCATTTGTTTTATTACTGGCTTGCACGAATTTATATACTGAATACTCATATTTAAATTAATAATGATTATAATATCTAATAACTAGCTATCCCACACGGTTTTGTCCGTACCAGTAATGAACAAAAAAAAAGTGTATAAAATTACAAAAAAAAGTATTATTCTCCGTGACTTCCCGTTTCTACCCTATGCCTATTATAATTAATCGTTGTTACCTTGTAATTAATTTCTTTTTTTAAGGGTACCTACTTCTTTGTCCATGACAACCAAATTAACTAATAAGAACTAATTTTTTTCAATGGCGTCCAATTAACCCATAAATCAACAAAAAATATTCAGTTTTAATTCGGTTATTATCGAAAACCTTGTATCCGTCATTCTTTAAGGGTTAAATTTTGGAATATCCTATAACCTTCATCAATAAATAGGCTATCTAACACCGAAATTTCCAAAATTGGCTACATACGTGTTTTAATAGATATACTTTCTTAAGCTGTAGAGTTTAGATAGGGTGGTTTTTTAATCATGCTCACTCAAGTGCGTGTACAAGGCAGGTTTTAAGGGTTTTAAATTTCACGAAGTTTCACGAAATTTTATAAAAATTTTGATGAAAGAAGATTTTCAATACATTTTTAAAAGTGGTTTCCGTCAATGTGGAAGATAAATACAATTTTGGTTTTATATTTATTTTATTACTAGAAATAATAGGTATAATATAATATTGTATAATATTGTTATTATTAATGTATCTAATATGCTGTAGACTTGTGGTTTTTCTGCTTTTAGAAAATTTAAAATAAATAAATGAACATCATTGTAAAACCAATACATTCCACTCAGAATTTAAAATAATTGTTTTAAAATATTGACATTTTTAATGAAAAATTAATTATCCTCTAACTGAAGGTATGTAAACATTTCTGTAATAAGAATTTAAAAGTGTACTACCGAAAACCCTCTCTGAAATATTTTTTTGTAAACGCACCTCTGCTCGCTACATTTTTATTAATTAATTGTGTATATTTCTGAATTCGGAATTTGAAATTGTATATATAGTTAAAGATTATATTTTCTTATTTTCAATTTGTTCGCATCATTTAAGGAATAACCTGGGGTGATACAGACTTTGGCTTTTCAAATGAGAGCCGATATGTTTTATTTTAAATTATGAATTGGATGATTTTTCCGAAAATTATGACTTATTGTAATAGAAATTTGAACGAATTTGAGTCATTATAATATAAATATTAATCATAATTTTCACCAAAACATGTTAATCAGGTTATTTTATAAATCAAAGTTGCAGTTATTACCACAAAATAGGAATTGAACGTTGTTCCAGAAATCAGAATATGAATATATGCATAATTTAACAACAAACATAGGATGAGTACATGCTTAAAAAATCATATTAACAAACGTAACAATGTACAAGCACGTTATACGAGCGGACAGACACGACAGAGAAATAAGGTTTTCTAAAATTATGTTTAAAGACCTAAACAGGATCTTGTGAGTGAAGATATTGTTGAATATTTTAAAAAACTTGAAAAACAAATCTGAGCATTTTTACTAACCCCTCCCAAAAAAAAAAAAACATTTTTCTAATATCAATAGATATTACATTAATACATACAATAGATAGATAGAATAATACACAATAGATATTAAATATTTACTGCTTTTTTAAACAAATATAAAATTCACACAGATATTTTAAAAATAATATCATGTGTTTGCGATTTAGACGGGAAAAATGAACAATTTTAAAATGTATAAAATAATTAATTTTATGTGCGGTGCCTATCTTGACGAATCAGACGCCTTGGCGTTTCGCGAGTGCCTCTAAACAAATATTATCGGATACGATTAAAGGCGCCTAGCGCCGCGGAATAATATTCTAATTAAGTATTAAAATACAGACTGTCTACGTGTAATTCGTTTTGCGCGTAAAAAATTTTTTTATTAATAAATATTTAAGTGTATTTCCCTGTACTAAACCCCGGTGGCGTGTCAGACCTTTAAAACGGGTTTTATTGTATTTGGATGGAATTAATCGTAAACGAATGCAACGGCTGTCCATGTACAAACGGTTCTTTACGAATGGTTTAAACATTGCAGCTACACACGATACCCGTAAATACGATATAATATATTCCTGTCAGGAGGGGGACGTAACACTATCACCAAAAATTCCGGATGACAAAATTATGTCGTATATGAATTGTATAAAACACGTGATACTAGTCAGCATTTAAGACGTTATATCGGTAAATTTACCGGGTGAATGTTACGGGTAAACGTGTATTAGATATATTTTTTTTTTTTTATCGGTTAAATTTTGGCCGGTTTCAAATTTTATCCACAGCGAATTTCGTCCCGGGATTGTATCAGTTACGTCTGAATTTGGCCCATGCTTTAACTATTACAGCAGTATATTTTTGAATAAGTTACGGTACGGTAATAGTACGGTCAGACGGATCGCGGATAAATCGTTTGAATATATTCGTCTGCGACGTTTTGATATTATATTACGGAGATAAAAACAGAAATAACGTTATATTTTGTATAGATAATTGTTATTTCGTTTTCGGATACTACGTCCAATACGTAATATACTACAAATAATAACCCGAAAAATAAATAGCCCGTGAAGAAAAAAAAACATTTTTAAACATGCCTGTAGAGCTGCCAATCTTAAAACTGGAAAAAAATGTGAAGAGAAATATAAATAATTTTAAGTCATTACAAAAAAACGAGGGGCGGAATTCAGATGTGGTTGCTCCAACTCTGGGAAAAAATTCGGACAACTTCATTAGCTTGGGATGGAATTGAGAACAACGAATTCATTTACAGTTCATAAAGTCCAGTGACCGCTTATTTAAGATTTTTTTGAATGCCTAATTTATTTAAGTACTTTTTAGTCTATGCACTATACATAGTAGTACAGTGCAGAATTTCGTGAAAAATGTGTTTCTGTCATAATCTGCCGTGTACTGTATAACAGTAGTAAGCCATGTTGAGTTTTTTAATTTCATAAATCTTATACAGTCGCTTTATTTTTATAAGATAAAAATTTATAGTATTCTATACAATATTTGAAACTATTAAAGTCAACTCCAATCATTGGGCTACATTGGTTGCGTGTTATTTTTCCCCAATAAAACAGTTGTCCTAATAATCCAAAATACAAAAAAGAATATAAATTTGTTGAAAAATTGATTTTTTTTAAATATATTTTTACTATTACAAATTACATACAATTATAGAAATTAATTAATAATACAAAAAAAAACATGATATTATCCTAATTATTTATAAAAATACATAAATATTAAGTACATACCTATATTTTTTTATTTTTTCATTATGTATTTTATCTTATTTAAAAAAAAACTAAGAATATTACTTTGTTTCTTACATATAACTGATTATTGACGAATGTAGTCCGAACAAGCATCCAAAACACTTATGGGGCTTCCCTCATTTTCTTGTTGAAGATAAAATAATCTCAATGTTTCTAAAGATTTCTCTGCTTCCCGTAGTCGAATTGGTGGATCTAGTTCCTCGTCTGTGTCTTCATCTGAATTATGTTTATCGTATTATGTTTTTTGTATGTATTCAATGATCGCATCATCATCAACTTTTACGTTTTGGTTTAGTATTACACACTTGAATCCAGATCTTCAAATTCTACGTTGTTCAATACTCTTACGATATCATATTGTTCGAAATTCGGTTCTAATTGTTGATCGATGATATGACTTTCTCCAAGAAACTACACTTGCGAAAACAATTTTTTATCGTCTAACTGCTTACATTACATCAGCTTTCTGAAATGAATTGCTTGCAGAATATTCATTTTTATTACTGATATCTATTGCCGTTAATTTTGGTTAAAGTAAATTGTCTTCAATCTTTTCTAAAATATAAGTAACCAGTGTTGCTCTATACTTAGCCTTTAAATTTTGGATAACACCCATATATAAAGGCTGAATTAGTAACGTTGTATTAGGAGGTAAAAATTGAAGCTAGATATTTTTCAATAATACATTAGGATGGTTAGTACAGTCGTTTAAGATGAGGCATATAGCCGTTTTGTTTTGTCCAACTCCGTATCCCATGGTTGCAACCATTCAATTTAAATGGCCGAAGTCATCCATGCATTTTTTTTTGCGTGATACTCAACTGATAATTTTTATAAAGAAATTTGTTCAAAATAACAAGGTTTTTTACTTTTTCCGATCACTGAAAGTTTTTTTTGTCAGTCCAACTTACGTTCATACAACACAGTATTTCTGTCCATAGCTTTTTTTTATCTAGCTATCGATTCATGTTTAAAATAAGGAGAACAATATAGAGTTGCACATTAGTATAATCCTGTTTCATCTGCATTATAAATATCTTCGAGAGAAAATTTTGCAAGAAGCATTTTGCAAATGATTATATCACGTGGCTGAAAAGGCTGAATATTAACAATTTCTCAACGACCATAATTATTATTATATTGAAAGAGGAAAAAGGTCATGGGTAGAAACTGAAATACAATATATATGATAAACAATATTGTCAATGGTTCACTAACGAATTTATTTTAAATTCAGAAATAATTACAACATTTTACTGTAATAGCGATTGCAAAAGCAGCAATAATATTATTGAACATACCTATTGTACTTTTACGAGTCTGACAGATATTAAAATATCAAACGCAAACTTACTGCCAATTATAATTGTTAAAGCAATTATTTGGGGAATTATTTTAACGAGCACTATATATTATTATGATAAAGCAAAATTATTTCAGCAACGACAATATACGTTTTTTTTTTTATTTATCTGAAATCGTTTTGCAGACGGTGAAAAAACGTTGACAAATTTACATCTGGAAATAATTTTTATGAAGTAAGTCTTTGACTCAATTTTTACAATGAAATATTCATAGTTCGTCTTCAAATAATAAGGTCGATTATATAATTTATTTATTTTTTTTACTGTTATTTTCAAACAAATGACAATATATTAAAATAAATAATAATAATTGTGACTCAGTTTTTGAATGACCACGTTCCTGTTGTAAACATGTAAATTTAAAAAAAAACTGACAAGAATTTATTAAAACAAATCAATATAGTCTGTAGTAGTGCTATGTCTATGTTTAAAAATAATAAAAAAATCGAGTGTCACACTCGATCGACCGTGTCGATAGGAAAAGGCAGCATAGTTACTTTATAATAAAATATATATTATTTTATGATAAAATAATTACAAATGCGATATATATTTTATTAATAATATTTATTTAACATTTTGCTTAATTTCCCGTTCTTTCTACGGTTTTTTCGGTTTTCCCATGTTTATTCCCAAATTTTCCCAGATATTATAAAAATCAAAAAATAGTCTCCTTAAAATACTATGCAAATAAAATTTCCTTTCATAAACTGTGCTAGACTTGATACATCGGAGCAAGATCTTTGGTAGAAAAGTTTGCACAACAAATTGAAAGGTTTAGCAGGCACGATAACATCCGGATTATCTAGCGTTTGGATAGTCGAGGAGTCGGATAATCGGTTTTAGTGTACCAGGGGCGCATAAACTCACCGGGAAACGGGTCTCGAAACAAAATAGGGACATACTAATACGAAGGGTGGACCACTTTTGTAGGTCAGATGTGAAAGTAGAGAGAAAATTTAATGTACATAATATGTATGCAATGATTAACGTTAACCATAACGAAAAACGATTCTGTGCGGAGTTCGGTTATATAAATAATGAAAAATTGTAATTATTACAACTACAATTTTCGTCAAAATATAATTTTAAAACATATAAAAAATACTATACTTAACTCAATTTTATTTTTTAAAATAAAATGCGATCGTTTTTTCCCCGTTACACGATGTGGTTTTACAAAAAAAAAAAAAAAAAAAAGTAAAAACTCGCATTTTTAAAATATCTATAAATAACATAAAAATTACTCAAATATTTTTAATATATTATCACGTCTAGAAAAAGTAATTATAAATTGTCTGTAAAATTTTCAAATCTCTACGAATATTTAAACCTGAATTACATCGAAAAATATAATTTTAAATAATAAAAGCATTATTTTCATAAATTTCCCATTATGTCTACGTTTCTTTTCGGTTATACTCAATTATTAACCAAACTACAGAGAAAATCAAAAACAAATACCTTACTTATCAATTAGAATGGAAATTTAATAAGAAAGGTGTCTAGTCGTTTACCCATTGGAGTAAAATGTATGGTAGAAAACATAGTCCGTTAAATTATATAATAATAAAATCGTCGTGTTGTAGTTTCGGTCCTTACGTTCGGGTAATCTAGCGTTGGGATTGTCTAAAGTTCAGATGATCAGGTATACTGTACCAGGGTCGTAGAGGCTCACCGAGATACAATCGTCGTGTCGTAGTTTGAAAAATATCGTATATTTTATTCGTATCGTATTTTTTGGAATATTTTAAATATCAATTAACGACTTACACTGTCAGTGGCTAGGTGTTAAAAGAAATAAAATCGGTTTCGTGTCAATTTTTGATTGGAGTAATATGTATGGTATAAAACATAAGGTGTACATATTAAAATAATTAAACCGGGGCGTTACGTTGCCGTAAATGTTAATCAATTTTAATTATTTGGTTTTATCCAATTATTACAAAAACTAATTTAAATATCGAAAAACGACTAACTTTCTCAGTGAAAAAATATTATAAGAAAAAAAATCGATATCTTGTCATTTTTGGATTGAAGGAGCAACAATTCTAGTAGAAAACATCGTGGTAACTTAATAAATTTATGAAAAAAGGGTAACACCGAGTCGTTCTGTAAATATTTGCCGTTTATTGCCGTTGTTTTGCCAACAATTTTCTTTTAGTTTCTCCCGATTATTTTCAAAACCCTTCGGAAAATTAAAAAAATAAAAGTTCTTCACTATGCTCGAAATCTAAAAGGTAAACATTATTGTAAAAGAATTACATTCCTCGCTTAGCTCAAAATCTAAAATATATAGAATAGATAATAAAAAGTTAACACTATCGATTGTAGGTGAGAAATTGGGAAGGTATAGGATACGCAGAGTAGTGTAATTTATACCGTATACAATGTTAAATCATTGCAAACGAACAGATGATTTTGTGCGGAGTATTTTATTCGTATGGATTATTGTTGCCTAGTTACACATAATGATCAGAAATCAATAAAATAATAGTGTAAAAACAAAATTATTTAATGGTAAATACTCATAAATAAATAAAAAAATTAAAACATTTATGTGTAGAAATAAATAAATATATTAATGCGTCTCCTGGAATATTATGATATGTGTATTGTACGACTGGTTATAAATTAAAAATTCATCCTCGGGTAAATCAAAAAAACAATTAGTAAAATGCGACTGGATATGAGAAAATAAATAAAGAAATATAATGAAAGAAAATTATAAAAATTGGTCATTTTACATAGAAATAATTTCATTTAATATGAGTTATTATTAAACATATATAAGTTAAGAAATATAAATTTTTTGGTTATTATTTGTTAACTAAAATGCATTGATATAAAATAGGTATTATTTTTAAAATCGGTTTGTCAATTTAAAATATTATTAAAATTGTTTTTCATCGTTTCAATGTGTATGAGTAATTCTTCTAGAATTTAATTAATGTAAATGTTCTTTTCGGTATTTAATGTTTCTAAGTCTGTATTAATATCAAAACTTATATTATGGTTATTAGCATATAAAAAATACTACACTTAACTCAATTTTATTTTTTAAAATAAAATGCAATCGTTTTTTCCCCGTTACACGACGTGGTTTTACAAAAAAAAAAAAAAAAAACGTAAAAACTCGCATATTTAAAATATCTATAAATAACTTAAAAATGACTCAAATAATTTTAATATATTATCACGTCTAGAAAAAGTTATTATAAATTGTCTGTAAAATTTTCAAGTCTCTACGAATATTTAAACCTGAATTACATCGAAAAATATAATTTTAAATAATAAAAGCATTATTTTCATAAATTTCCCATTATGTCTACGTTTCTTTTCGGTTATGCTCAATTATAACCAAACTACAGAGAAAATCAAAAACAAATACCTTACTTATCAATTAGAATGGAAATTTAATTAGAGAGGTGTCTAGTCGTTTACCCATTGGAGTAAAATGTATGGTAGAAAACATAGTCCGTTAAATTATATAATAATAAAATCGTCGTGTTGTAGTTTCGGTCCTTACGTTCGGGTAATCTAGCGTTGGGATTGTCTAAAGTTCAGATGATCAGGTATACTGTACCAGGGGCGTAGAGGCTAACCGGAACCGCGTGATTTTCCCGCCGGGCCGCTATTTGTGCCGATGAAAAATACTGTTTTTGTATAATGTACAAATACATAAACACGAATATGAATATTCAAAGTTGATAGAAAATACAATAATACTGTATTTTATACATAAATCAAGTTTAAATCCTAATAAATTGTCATTGTATTGCCAGTCCACCTTATCCATAAGCAGTGGTATGCTGCTGCGTTATGGATTTACCATCTTAACTATTATTTATTTTGGATTTAAAATATTATTTTTGAGTTTATGACAAAACTGCTGTCATCAATTAATATAAATAAAAACATCTAAATGTTTACCGTACTTAGTTATCAAACAAGTCATACGGTTTCTGTGACGTTTGTTTAACTAGTCAATGTATGCTGTTTTTGCCTTTCAGTTATCAGGTGCCATCATACGTGGTATGATGTATCAATTTTTTTTTTTGGAAAATTCTGTAATTTAGTTATGTACATTTTCATATTAAAATGGATACCTATTTAAAAAATCTGCAAGTTGTTATTTACGATTCTGAGCAAAGTTTAGTTGATAACCACGTTTTGTCATCAATATATGTGTTATATTGTGATAAACAGTTAAATAGGCATTGTGTATCCTCATTAATAATGTCTCGTATATGTCTGATGCTCCGATTTTCCCGTTTTTCACAGTTTTCTCGTGTTTTTTCCTGGTTTTTCATATTTTTTAAGAAAACTCTTGAGAAAATCGAAAAATTTCCAGTGTTAAGTATCTTCCCAGTAAAATTTTCTTTTAGAAAAA